GGGCACAGCAGCTCCTCCTGCCTTTCTTCTCCCTGCCCCTTCTTCCTCTTAAATAAAAGCACGGAATATGTCTATTTCTTTTACTCTCACAACAAGCTTTGAGGTTGGCAGGGGAGTGTTTCAGTGAAATGTTGCTATCCCGGAACCCTTCTGCTGAATTACCCAATTAGGGTGAGAAATTGCTACAGGATTTCTGCCTAAGCAGGAGGCTGGGAGGAGGGGGGCCTGCTTCCTCTCCCCAAAACCAAAAAAACAACTGATGCCATTGAGTTGAACTCGTAGCAACCCTATAGGGCAGAGTAGAACTGCCCCATAGGGTTTCCAAGGCTGTTATCCTTACAAAAACTGCCACATCTTTTTCCTGCAGGGCGAAGCTTGGCTGGTGGGTTCAAACTGCCCATCTTTCCTTTAGCAGCCGAGCACTTAACCACTGAGCTGGTTCCTGGTTAACTGAAACTGTGTTTCACCAGAGTAGTAAAATATTCTGTGAATGTGAACATTCTGATTTCTCAGTTTTCTTCTTTGTTTCTCTTCCTCTCTCTCTTTCTCCTCCCCTTCCTTCCTTCCTTTTTTCTGGCTACTTTCCTCCCTGTTCTGTCTTCCTCTGATGGACGAGCCCTGCTCCTAGCTCCCCCACCTCCAGTTTCTCTGTGGCCTGTTCTCTTGAGGTTGCAGGTCCTTGGGAAAGCAGGTCTCTTGTACTTCAGGGAAATAAATCACCCTTCCCTCCCCTTCACATCGGGGTTAGACAGAGAAAATAAAAATAACCAGCATTTGCTTAGCGCTTACTAGGTGCTAGGCCCTGTGCTAAATGCTTCCTATACATTTCTTATTCCATCTTATTTCTATTTCACAATGAGAAAACTAAGGCTAAACGAGAGGTAAGTATCTTGCCCAAGATCACACACACTAACTGGCAGAGCCAGGGTTTGAAGGCTGATGCCAAAATTCATGTTGTTTTTTTAATATAATTTATTTTATTTTTGTTATTGTTGAGAATATACACAGAAAAATATACAATTCAACAATTTCTACATGTACAATTCAATGACATTGATTACATTCTTCAAGTCATGCAACCATTCTCACTCGTCTATGTCAAGAAATTTGGAAGACAACTACCTGGCCAACCAACTGGAAGAGATCCATATTTGTCCCTATTCCAAAGACAAGTGATCCAACAGAACGCAGAAATTATCCAACAGTATCATTAATATCACATGCAAGTAAAATTTTGCTGAAGATAATTAAAAAACAGTTGCAGCAGTATATCAACAGGTAACTGCCAGAAGGGACATGGAACTAGGGATATCATTGCTGATGTCAGAGGAATCTTGGCTGAAAGCAAAGAATACCAAAAAGATGTTTACCTGTTGGCTTAGTTATCTAGTGCTGCTATAACAGAAATACCACAAGTGGATGGCTTTAACAAAGAGACTTACAGCCTAGGAGGCTAGAACTCTGACTTCAGAGTGCCAGCTCCAGGTGAAGGCTTTCTCTTTCTGTTGGTTCTGGGGGTAGGTCATTGTCATCAATGTTCCCCTGGTGTAGGAGCTTCTCATCAAACGGGCCCCGGGTACAAAGGATATACTCTGCTCCTAGCACTTCATTCTTGGTGATGTGAAGTCCTCCTCCTCTCTGCTCCCTTCTCTCTTTGATAACTCAGAAGAGATTGACTCAAAATACAACCTAATCCTGTAGATTGAATCCTAGCTCATTAACATGACTGCCTCTAATCCTGCCTCATTAACATCATAGGTTAGGATTTCCAACACATAGGATAATCACATCAGATTACAAAATGGTGTCTCACCACACAATACTGGGGATCATGGCCTAGCCAAGTTGACACATATTTTTGGAGGACACAATTCAATCCATAACACCTGTGTTTTATTGACTACGCAAAGGCATTCAACTTTGTGGATCATAACAAATTACGGATACCATTGGGAAGAATGGGAATTCCAGAACACTTAATTGTCCTCATTAGGAACCTGTACGTAGACCAAGAGGCAGTCGTTCGAACAGAACGAGGGGATGCTGTATGGTTTAAAATCAGGGTTGTATCCTTTAACCATACTCATTCAATCTGTATGCTGAGCGAATAATCCGAGAACTATGAAGAAGAACAAGTCAGCAAGATTGGAGGAAGGCTCATTAACAACTTGAGATATGCAGATAACACAACCTTGCTTGCTGAAGGCAAAGAGAACTTGAAGCACTTACTGATGAAGATCAAAGACTACAGCCTTCAGTATGGATTACACCTCAACACAAAGAAAATAAAAATCCTCACAACTGGACCAATAGGCAATATCATGATAAACAGAGAAACTACTGAAGTTGTCAAGTATTTCATTTTACTTAGATCGACAATCAATGCCCATGGAAGCAGTAGTCAAGAAATCAAACGAGTATTGCACTGGGCAAATCTACTGCAAAAGACCTCTTTCAAATATTAAAAAGCAAAGACATCATTTTGAGGACTAAGTTGCATCTGACCCAAGCCATGGTGTTTTCAAGTACCTCATGTGCATGTGAGGGCTGAACAATGAATAAGGAAGCCTGAAGAAGAACTGATGTGTTTGAATTGTGATGTTGGTGAAGAATACTGAATATACCATGGACTGCCAGAAGAACAAACAAGTCTGTCTTGGAAGAAGTACAGCCAGAACGCTCCTTAGAAGCTAGGATAGCGAGACTTCGTCTTATGTACTTTGGACATATTATTAGAAAGGACCAGTCCCTGGAGAATGACAGCATGCTCGGTAAAGTAGAGAGTCAGCAAAAAAGACAAAGCCACTCAATGAGATGGACTGAGACAAGAATGGGCTCAAGCATAACAAGGATTGTGAGGATGCTGCCGGACCGGACAGTGTTTCCTTCTGTTGTACATAGGGTTGCTATGGTTCAGAACGGTAGATGTGAAGTGGTATCTCACTGAGGCTTTGATTTACATTTCCTTGATGACTAATGATGCTGAAAATCTTTTCATGAACTATTGGCCGTTTGTGTATCTTCTCTGAAGAAATGTCTAATCTAGATCCTTTGCCCATTTTTTAATTATTTATCTTTTTATTATTGAGTTGTAAGAGCCAAAAGCCAAACCCATTGCTATCGAGTAGACTCTAACTCATAGAGTCCTGGTGGCGTGCAGGCTGCTAACCAAAAGGTTGGTAGTTTGAATCCACCAGCCACTCCTTGGAAAGCCTGTGGGGCAGTTCTACTGTGTCCTATTGGGTCACTATGAGTCGTAAGAGTCCTTTATATATTCTGGATACAGGTACTTTATCAGATATACGATTTGCAAATATTTTCTCCCATTCTGTGGGTTGTATTTTTAGTTTCTTGGTGGTATTGTTTGCAACAGAAATATTTTTTATTTTCATGAAGCCTAATCTATTTTTTCTTTTTTGCTTGTGCTTTTGATATTGTATCTAAGAAGGCTATGCCCAACCCAAGGCCACAAAGATTATTCATATGTTTTCTTCTAAGAGGTTTATAGTTTTAGCTCTTACATTTATCTTTTTAAATAACTTTCAAAGTTTGAGTTGATTTTTTGGTATGGTATGAGGTAGGTGTTCACATTCTTTTGCATGTGGACAGCCAGTTGTCCCAATACCATTTGTTAAAAGACTACAGAGATTTTTTAAATACATAAATCAGATCACAGCACTCCTCTGATTAAAACCTTTAATAACTTTCCATTGCACTTAAACTAGAATCCAAATTCCTCTGCCCATCTCTCCACTCTAATTTCACACCACTATCCCTCTTGGTCACCATGCTCCAGGCTCTGTGATCTTTTGTTTCACAGAATAAGTCAAGCTTGCTCTTCCCTTTGCTTCCTCATCATTCTTCATCTCTTACTTTAAATGTTACCTCGTCAAAGATGCCTTTCCTTCTTAGACTATTCTTTTAAGATAGGTTCTCCACCCCATCCCATCCCATCCCATCTATTTTATGTATCATTCCCTTTTATTTTCTTTATAGCCTTAATTAGCCAGAAGAACAAACAAGAAGTACAGCCAGAATGTTCCTTAGAGGGGAGGAGAGTGAGACTTGTCTTAGGTACATTGGACATGCCTTCAGGAGGGACCAGTCCCTGGAGGACATCATGCTTGGTAAAGTAGAGGGTCAGTGAAAAAGAGGAAGATCCTCAAGGAGACAGTTTGACACAGTGGCTGTAACAATGGACTCAAACAAGCAAGGCAGGACCCGGCAGTGTTTCCTTTTGCTGTACATAGGGTTGCTATGAGTGGGAACGAACTCCATGGCACCTAACAACGACATTTTATTTGTTTATTTTTTCATTTTGAGTTATACTTCTTTGCATCTGTCATAGTGCTTTTCACATAGTATACACTGAATTTAGTCATGTCCATTAGAAACTAGAATTTACAAATAGAAGGGTCTTTAGAAATCATCTAGTCAACCACTCTCATTTTACAGACGCAAAACCCAACGTCTAAGCAGAGTGATATATTTGGCGTCAGGAAGAGTACGTAGACCTGATTCTGAGAGCTCTGATTTCTACGACAGCTTCTTTTTCATTTATAACACTGATCTGCCTTACTCCCATGTTATGTTTTCTTGCAAAAATCACTAAAACGAAGCGCTTTTTTGGTAATTTCTTATAGAAATGGCATCACCTTTCTAAGCCTTCTTTCTTCCTAATATGCCACCTCAAACGAATGAATGGGACACAGACAGGAAGGCTAGAAGTCACACTCCACAATGGCACTATTTCAGTTCTTTCTTCTCTCCCTCCTTTACCTTCCCTGTTCCTCTTTTCACCCAGCCGCACCCGTTCCTCTTCTCCCTCAGCTGCCTCCGCCACCGCTACCCCCAGAGGCTCCGCCCGCTGCAGGGCCGATCTGCCCTCCTCCAAGATGGTGGCGCGTGCTTCTGCTCTGGGGGAAGTGAGCTCACGTCCTCCGGAAGGGAAGGCGGGGAGGGAGCAGGCGGGCGGGTGACTGGCTGTGGCGCTGTGGGTGGGGCGGTTGCCGCGGCGGTGGCCCTCGCAGTTGGGGCTGGAGAGAGGGCGAAGGGCTCGCCTGTTCGTGGGAGCCCAGCCGAGGACTCAGGGCCGGGGCGTTGATGAAAATCGCCCCGACTCTGGCCTGAGGGAGGGCGACTTTTGAGAGCCCGCGTTCCGCCCCGGGCGGCCTCCTCCCCCGACCGTCCTGCCGGGCTGCACGCGGGCGGCCCCGATCTGTGTCGCGGGCTGCCGCGGGAACGGTCGAGCGGGCTGGACAGGACCATCCCCTTGAGGGACCCGCAAGAGGAAAGGAAGACAGAGCGCGGCGGGCCAGTCGCTCAGCCCGGAGGTCAGGTCGGGGGCCCCGGTCCGCGGTCCTCCGTCCTTCGCGCAGTCCTAGAGCCCGCGACCTCCCCACGCTGCTTCTCCTTTGAGGATGTCACCGAGCCCCCTAGCAGGGTGATTTTTCCTCCTTGCTTGTGCCGGGAGGGAGATAGATATTTAAAGGACATCTGTCCTCATCTCTATCTCTGCCTTCTTTGAAGTTTTTCTTCTCTGAGAATGTGTGTCTCCTTCCGTAGACCATTTGATGGTCCCCACTCCAGCCACCCTCTGCTTTAGCAAGTGGAATCACATTTTGGGGGGGGGGACCTATAAAAGTACCCTACAGAATTGATCTCTCCCGCCCAAGAAGGGCCAGAGGCCTTTGGAGTTAAGATGCAGGCGGGAGAACCAGTGTCAACCATGAAAGTCTCGGAGAGCGAAGGAAAGCTGGAGGCGCTGGCCACAGCTGTGACCCCGAACAAGAACAGCAGCAACAGCAGCTGTGGTGGTGGAATCAGCAGCAGCAGCAGCAGCAGCAGCAGTAGCCGCGGCGGCAGTGCAAAAGGCTGGCAGTACAGGTATGGCCCTTTCTCCAGGGGGATTTCTCGGGGTGGAGGTGGGGGTGAGTTATGCTGGAGCCTGCGTTCCTGCAGTTGTTGAAGGGTGAAGTTTATCCACTGACTTCCAGAAGCAACCGATACATCTCATTTAGACCTCAGACCCCATCTCTCATTAGCAAGATTTCATTCATTCATTCAACAGGCATTTATTGAGGGCTGTTTGGAGAACAGAAACGTGTCCTTGAACTCCCTCCACAACCTAAGAGTTAATCTTCCCTCTGATTTAATTCTGTACTCACTTCTGGTTTTGCCTGTGTTGTAATTTGTTTACAAGCCTGCCGTCTCTACTGCGAGGGCAGGAACTGTTTAACTGGCTCTCTCTGGTGGCTAGCAAATAGTAGGTGGTCAGAACATATTTGTTGTGCGATTCACTGGAATAATTGAATCAGAAAAGATTCTTGCCCTCAGGGTGTTTGTGATTTAGAAGGGGAGATGTGCATGAATAATTTGAATACTGGGGCAAAGGTGCAGATGTTAGTGCCTCTGTGGAGTCTTTGAGTTGACCTGGCCACTTAACTGCTCTCTGTCTTGGTGACAAATTCTCCATTTGTTAATTTCCATTAATATGAATGGAAGACTTAAGGAATGGGAAGAGAGTCCTGGAGGAAGAATGATAGTTTTATTTTGGTTTTTGATATTTTCTGTATAAACAAAAACCTGTTGTCGTTGAGTCGATTCCGACTCATGTAGACCGAGTAAAACTGCCCCATAGGGCTTCCAAGGAGTGCCTGGTGGATTCGAACTGCTAACATGCAGCCATAGCTCTTAACCACTGTGCCACCAGGGTTTCCATTTAGTGTACGAGGGGAAATAAGCATCCAGAACCTTAAGAATGGGTGAAATCAGGACACCCCATGATATTGGAACTAAAGGGATGATTTCTTAAGTTTTGGTTAATGGACCGTACCTGTATGCCCAATTCTAGTCTTTTTTTTAGCCTATGTGCTGTATATACTTGTGAAATTTGTGTGAAACTTGAAAGGGGTTAAAGCCAAGATTTTGTGAAGGATGTTATATATATTTATCATGTATAATATGTTTGTATGTGAAATATGTATGAGTATTATTAACATATAGAAATGAAATGTAGAAGATTATAACTTTTTATTGGTAAATGACTATAGGGCAGGAAAACTATATTTAGTTACTGTGAGATGTCTAGCCTAGCTTTTGGAATTAGCATGATGCTTTTTGTGTGTGTGTGTGTTAACACAAATTATATAAGATTATTATTTACTTGGCAAGGATTTTTTGATATGATTAAGGAAGCAAGATAAACTAATATTCCAGCTAGTCAGAGGACAAGTCTCCTGACATCGTCAACTCTTTGAGAAGCCCAGTCTCAGGTGAACTGAAAAATGAATCAGGTTTTTTAGCACTGGAGAAAACTGTCATAAAACCATGCACTTTACTCCTGTACTTTCATACAGAACCGATGGTTCTGTATTTGGGTGTTATTTAATGGTTATGTAACTTTCTAACCAGAGCTATCAGAAGCACAAATGAAGAAGAAGGTTATTAGGGGAAATGTAACAGAGGAAATGGCAATTGACAACGTAGGACATCCAGAGAAGATTTGAAAAATTGAGATGCAGACTCAGCTATGTTACTTCCTAGTACAGTAATCATAGCCGTAATGACCAAAAATCAGCCAGGAAAGAGTGAAATACGTCCAGCACACTCTTTAAGAAGGCAGAGAACTATGTGATACAGTGGCAAATGATTTCAAAGAAAATAGTTAAAAAAAAATAAAAAAGATGCATAAAAGGGGAAAAACTTAAAGTGTCTGAAAAATTTAGTTATGTTAAGCTCTTCCCCAAGGATGCAGATATGTAAGGCATCACTGCATTTACATCTTGACGTACGTTTTGATTTTAATGTGGCTTTCCTGTCCAAGGCCAGTCCTTCAACCTAGCTGTCAATCTAATTTATCCCTTTGTCCTCTAGGACATTGATTAAACCATTTTCCCCTTTTCCTGTATTGCTGCTTCTTCCCCTCAGTCTCAAAGTCTATCAAACGCTTTCCTCTTGAAAGCAGTTTACACTCACTCCTCCGTTTTCTTCAACACATACCACCCCAGTTGCTGCTGATTTTGACTCATAGCAACCCTGTGTGTGTCAGAGTAGAACCGTGCTCCAAAGGGTTTTTAATGACTGATTTTTCGGAAGTAGATTGCTAGGCCTTTCTTGGAGGCACTTCTCGGGTAGACTCGAACTCCAACCTTTCGTATCAGCTGTTTGTACCACCCAGGGACTCTTCCACTTCCTTCACCCTCATTTATTCCTTAGCCTGTAGCAATTGGCTTCTGTCCTCAACCAAGGACATGAGTGACCTCTTCTAAATATAGTGAGCCAATTTAGATTCTTATTTCAGTTGATTTCTTTATAAGTATATGCCATTATGATTTTATTCTTGACTTTTTTTTTTTTTTTTTTGACACTACTTTCTCCTGGTTTCCCCTTTACTTCTCTACCCGTTCCTTTCTCAGTTTCTTTGGTTGACGCTTCTTTTCCTTTAAAGGCTGTCATGATACTCCACCATCTTCTCTTATGCTCCATGCTTTCTGTTCGTTATTCTCTTCCATGGCCTTAGCTAGTTAGGAAACCTCTTTGCGTAACTCCAGAGCCATATATCCAACTGCCTACATCTGATTTCTGTTAGATGTCTCATCAGCACCTTAAACTCTAACCTCTGCTGTAATTTGCTGCCATCCCATTTTTAAAACAGAGATTTCAGGTTATGCCGTATGGAGTAGTTGAAATTTAGTAAAGACCTTGTGGTTCTGATGTTGGCTTTTGGCTTTGCAGACTTAGAAATTTAATTCTGTTGGTTATTTAAAATCACAGTCAATTAGTATTCATCAGTTTATGAAATATGAATTCCATATGTCCTCGTACACCCTATGCTCAGTGCTGTGAGGGGTGGAAAGAGGTGTCTGTGAAAATTTCTTGGAAAGATTTATCTCTGTGGCACGGCAAGTACCCAAAGTATGGTACTGGTTTTAAATGCTCTAGGGTTTGAGAGGAGAGAGTCCTATGGGTTAAGTGGCTCAGGAGTAGGCTAGCCATATAATTTATGATCAAATTGAGACACTTTTCAGAACGAAAGTGGTGCTGTTAGTAATTATGCTGGAACAACAGGTACCAACCTGGATTGTCCCAGACCAACTGAGTCATATGGTCAGAGTCACCAGAGAGTCAGAAGGGACTTTGAAGGTGTGTAGGCAGAGTTCTACATTGCATAAGAAAAGCTCTTCTTGGTTAGAGTTGTAGGAGGGTAGATTTGGGCTAAGTTATGGCCCAAGGCCTTTAGTGCCAGAGTAAGGCATTTGGAATTTATTCTGTAGGTAGTGGGATCTATTGAAAATTTTTAGCTAGGGAAATGACATGGTCTAAAGTGGTATTTTAGGATTATTAACCTATCTGTGTTGTATAGCAATGTTTTTTTTTTTTTGTAGTTTTACACAATTTGAATCATGTTACACATAATATTTTACATATTCTGTTTTTATTAAAACTTTCCATATTGATATATAGTCTTCATAAGCATAATTTTTAGTGGATGTCTAAGAGTAAATGGATGGGACATGATTTATTTTATCTTCTTTGCAGATATATATTTATAATATATTCTGCCTCTTCTTTCTCCCCTTTTTGGGGTTTATTTCTTTAGGAGAAAATTTCAAAAGTAGAATTAGTTCATCAAAGAATATGAGTATTCTAATTATTCTTGGTATATATTGGCAAATTGCTTTCCGGAAGAGTTGTACCATATTATCTGCCTTGCCATTAGCAACATATGAATGCGTAAGTTTTCAGTGTAAGTCTGTTATGATTATTTAAATATTTTAGCTTATTTAACGGTAGGAAAAGTGGTATTTTCCTATTCTTTTCATGTTTTATTAATTGTATTTTTCTTCTTTTAACAGTTTTATTGAGATATAATTCACATACCATACAGTTCACCCATTTGAAGTATACAATTTAATGATTTTTAGTGTGTTCAGAGTTGTGCAACGATCACCACAATCAATTTTAGAGCATTCTCCAAGCCAAACCAAACCACACCTGTTGCCTTAGAGTCGGTTCCCACTCTTCACCCCAAAAGGAAATCCCATACCCGTTAGCTACCACTCCCTAATCCCTTCATTTTTTTCTCCCAGCCCTAGGCAACCACTAATCTACTTTCTGTCTTTATAGCATGGCCTATGTGGACATTAAGGACCCCTGGTTTTGCAGTGGTTAAGTGCTCAGCTGTTAACCGAAAGGTTGGTGGTTTGAACCCACCAGCTGCTCCACGGGAGAAAGATGTGGCAGTCTGCTTCAGTAAAGATTTATTGCCTTGGAAATCCTATGGGGGAGTTCTCTGTCCTGTACGTCAGTATGAGTTGGAATCAACTTGATGGTAATGGGTTTGGTTTGGTTTATCTGGGCATTTCATATAAATGGAATCATATAATATATTGTCTTTTGTGATAGCCTTCTTTCACTTAGCATAATGTTTTCAAGGTTCATACATGTTGTAGCATGTCTCATTACTTCATTCCTTTTTGTGGCCAAATAATATTTCATCGTATGAATATAACACATTTTGTCTATCCGTTCATCAGTTAATAGACATTTTTAGTTGTTTCCACCTTTTGGATATTATAAAAAATGCTACTTTTGGTGTGGATATATATGTTTTCAATTCTTTTGGGTATATACCAGTGAGTGGAATTACTGGGTGATATGATAATTCTTTGTTTAATCATTTGAGGAACTGCCAGACTGTTTCCAAAGTGGCTACACCATTTTACATTCCCACCACCAGCGTACGAGGGTTCAATTTCTCCACATCCTCACCAGTGCTTATTGTATGTCTTTTTTACTTTAGCCATCATGGGTATGAAATGGTATTTCATTGTGGTTTTGATTTACATTTCCCTAATGACTAACGATGTTGAGAATCTTTTCAT